TTCCCTCGAGCGCTTTAATTAGCGCTATGAGCGCTATAAGCGCTTTAATTAGAATAGTGGTGGCCAAAGTCGCGGCGATAATTCAAATAAGTTTCTACACTGTTAGAGATATTCGTAGTATTCATGCACTTTAAATACATATGGTTCTAGTGGAATTATACATTTGGTGTCCTAAAAGAGAATTAGTACACATTTATTATAAATTTCTAAAGGAAAACTTGTAATTTCATGACGTCGCGTTAAAATTTTGTGAAATTCCGTGGGAATATTAATACACTTGTGTACTAAATTTATAACGCATCTTATAAATTTCTTGCAAATTAGTATACCGTGTATGAATAAAACTTCCAACGAAAATGTTATAAGATTATAAATCTTTTTTTAACAGTGTAAGTACAACCGCCCCCCGTGGATTTGTTTTACGCGAATGAAAATCGCGTAAATAAAGTATGTCAGCACAAAAGAAATAATATTGGAAATAAAATCTAATACATGTAAGTTTTAGAAACAAATATTTAATTAAAATAGCTTGATAAAGAAAAAAAAAGAAGAATGACGTTTTAAAACCGCGTAAATTGTGTTATAATTTACCGCGTAAAAAAAGGTATGTACCAAGTGAGGACTATGTCGTCTATTAGTAGAGATTATTCTGTTCATTACAAGAAAAAATGATTTGGAATAAAGTCGAATAATCTCGATCCTCGCGTCTGACGATTAATGTACATTTCTACGCGTTAAGTCATATTGTACTTGATAATTTAAGAGGTTATTAAGAATTATTCCTGATCACTTCTTGTTATCTAATTACTACCTTGCAAGTCCGTATTTTACCTTAAAAGTTACGTCTTTCTTTAACGTGGAAAATTTAGAAATATACCCGTAAATCGTATTTCCCTGATATTAGGCCACTGGGAAATAAGTTTTGTATTGCAAAGCAATTTTTCTTTTCGACGAGTCTTACCATGTAAGGTGTACCGAGAAAAAGTGTCGCGTGTGTCGCGGCGATATAATGTGTCATTCGCAGAATTATTGACGTTTCGCCGATATAATCGATGTTTGGAAATCAGCTTTGCCGTTTGCGTCGGTATGCAACGGGCCATCTTGTAACGAGATACGCGCTTCTTGTTCATCAACCGTACGGAACATTACAATAACTCACATTATTCACAAATATGAACTATATTATCAGTGTATTATAATCTTCAATCTGAAAGGCTACAATCGTTCAATATCAAACATATTGAAGTAATGCCAAGAAATAACGTTAACAAGAATACTCCACGGCTAAACATATAATGTGGGTATATAAGGTTAATTAACATTAGGTAAAAGATTCTAAACAGTAAAGTTAACTGATTTAAGTTTATAGTATAATGGAGGATACTTCCGACGCACTTCAAGTTCTCCCAGATATGCAAGAAGTGTTAAGAAATTAGATCAAATTTCGTTCTAGAGAAATCGGAAGTGCGTCTTCTAAAAATTTAAATATAGGTTAAGAGTGAAAGACATTTAGACACCATATGGAAGATATGATGATTTCTGGTTCCTGTTCCGTACGACGATCAGGCTCACAATACGGAACGAACTGGAACGCTTTTAATGACGCCGATTTTCGTCGCCAGGACAACTCCGGTGTTTCCTCAAAAAGAAAAAAGGAAAAAAAAAACATATGCCCAGGAAAAATTTTCCCCAAATATTTTCCTACGTTTCTTAAATATACCGTTTTAGAACCGCGTGATTTTTCTCACAGAAACGCGAATCGAAATCGACCCGCCACCTTTGTCATTAAAATGTTGCATATATTTAAGGAATAGCTTAGACAAATTGCTCGACAATTCAGAATTTCAATTTAGAATCGATAGTGACATACATAAATTGAATCGACCTTCAACTAGTGACATCGTGCGATATTAGCGACAGTTGATGATTAAGTTAATCTTACTTTGCAAATATTCCGCGGAAAAATATGAACGGCTCGCCGAGACCTGCGGTTAAGAAGTTTCCGAAAATAGGAACAAACAAGGAAAGGTTGGCTCGCGGTTGTTTGTTACTATTTAAATACGAGGAAAGAAAAGTGAATTGCTTCGGAGAAGGTGAATTCACTTGTAAATCCCGAGGTGGGTGGACGAAAACGAAAGGAGAGGAACCGCGTCCAGGAAGCGACGAGGAGACGTGCAAACAAAGTTTCGGCCAAAGAACCAGCATTTAGCGGTATAAAGGACAAAGAAGTCATCCTGTTTGCACGGTGCATATTCGCACGAGATTCCGCGTTAAAACCCAAGAGGAATAAGAAAAGGAAAGACACTTCATTAATATACCATGAGAACGCAATCCCTGAATCCGTGGCCAGTCGGACTGAACCGAAGGAACTAAAATTAGCCGTTTTGTGATTTAAACGTCTTCGGCACCTCCTGCATGTTCCTCACAAAGTAAACCGACAAAGCCAAAGTAGGAATAACGCTTAAAAACTTTAACGGGCCCTATTTTTAATTTAAAAAAATAAAAAAGGAATAATCCAATAGCGTATTACAAGCGCTACTCCTTCACCTAGGTAATAAGAAATCAGCGAACGATTCTCTACCGGGCAATATTCTAAATTTTGAACGGAAATAATTAATCATAACGTGGCGAAACATCCGGAAGGTATCAAAGATCCTTTTAGTTGATTTGAGTTAAAGGGACGGACAATGAAAAAAAAAAAAATATTAAATAAAATTCTCAAGAAACTCTCGGCAATGTAACACAGTACGCATACAGATATTAATGGCAATTTGACTGATCATAACTTTCCCCGCGTAATTCAGGGAACGTTCCAAGAGGGACGAGTGACAAGCCCGCAAACCTCGTTACAATTGACATCACGTAATCGCATGATAATGAACGAAGTCGTCCCGTATCGCGAGCGTGAATTCACGCGAGAATTCAGCACGGTTTGATCGTAGGGGGGAAGGAAAAACGAAAAATAAGAAAAAGTAGAGAGAAGCGGTAGATGGGCGAGGGCCGATTCGCGGTTTTAAGAGAGAAAACATCGCATCGACGATAGCGATTGGCGATTACGCTAACCAAACACTGGGGTACGCCCCTACAATTTGCCTCAAGGATCATCTTACCCTAATCGGCCGTACTAATAACAGGATTACGGTGCCCCGCCGCGGAATCGTGTACTTATCCCTAATTCGCCCTATCGTTATTAATATGCAATGTAATATAATAAAGTCGAATATAATGCATTGGCAATCCAACGTATAAAGCGGCTTCGGAGACGCATCGAATATTTGCCAAAAGGTTTACAGCAAGCAATTTTGTAATTGGCAATGACATTTTCAAAAGCCGTTTGGCTGAAGGACATTTTCCCTTGCTTAAGATTATTATATTATTATATCGCGAAATCGGCCGATTTATAATAAACATCATTGCGGTTCCTCTTTGCGGAATCCTTCTTCTTCTTCGCGGATCAATAACTTTGTTATTAATATACAATGAAATATGATAAGCTCGAATATAATGCACTGGTAATTCTGCGAGGTGGGCTTTGTAGACGCGTTCAATATTTATAAATGAGCTTTTATCAAGAAATGTTTGATTGTCGAAGTTTGAGGAAACGATTAATCGAAGAACATTTTAATTTGTTTAAAGTTGTTTTAATGTATTGTTGTATCGCGATATCGACCTTGATGGTGATAAATAGAATTACGATGTCTTTATATACCCAATTCCACCTGTTATTACAATAATATACAGGGTAATATGATTAGATAATACGATAAAATCGAATATATGAAAAAGAAGTGATTTATCAAGACGACGGTGACACCGCGAATGATTTTGAATGCCGCGTATCAATTGCACAATTACATTGTTTAATATCGTATGCACCAAAGACATCCGACGGATAGATGAAATGCAAGAAATGCTGAGATACTTCGGCTTTATAATTTCAATAGAAATAATAATAAACCTATCTTACTGTTTTTCGGGGATTTCATAGAGATGTTGATAATAATTATTATACTTCTCATCTGAACGTTATAAATATTTCAAACCTAAGCTGCGCGAATAATGTATGTTGCAATCCCGCGAAATGTAAACGTCTACTAAATTCTATTTTACTATATAAAAATGATCATCCGTGACTTTTAAATTTACAACTTTTGCAGGCAATCAGTCATGTTATCTTAGAAAAATAAAATCAGATTTTTGCTCCAGAGTTAATGCACAGGTAAAGAAATACCAAATCGTACTTTCGATTTTACCGAAAGTTAATATCATATTCTAACTTCATCCTTAGCGAATATTTTTCAATAACAAGTGTACGCATTCTCGCGTGTGATTGTTAACCATTACAAAAATTCTTAATCCTTTCCGAGTGATGAAAAACACTTACACAACTACCGAGATTTTCTTCCACCTAACGGAGTACTTCATTAACAGTCTTCCGTTATCGACAATCTAAGAGAGCACTTCCGGTTCCACTTTTTTGTGGAGAATACCTAACTACGAAGGCGTAAAATACGCAAACGAGGAAAGTCAGGAACTCGTCATGAATTTAAAGCAATAGATTCACATAACGAACAACGTTACGACGTACATTTCACCAACAATATTAACGATTCAGCAAAATTGACAATATCTCGATATTTACCCATCGGCAAAAAAAAAACAAACGAAAATGACCACACCCTTACATACTTATTTAAAATCTACATTTATTAAAATCTTTACCCCGTTCATTTCTCATATTATTCTTTCACTTTACTCATCTCCCAGCTTTGTTAAAAATGTTCCATACTTCTGCACAAATTATCATATTGAGTGCCACCGTTTCCGCTTCTAGAATACATTTACCCTCGACAATATTTAAACTGTGGAAATATTTATAAGAATGCGCACGAAGAAGATGCGAGGATACCGAGGAGAGTAACGTAGCAGTGCGTACCGTCGATCTTTCTAGGGTGCAATATTATTTACGGGGTCGGCAACAATAAAATAAGCATTCTTACGTGTAATGGGAGTAAGAAGGGTTCGCCTGGTCGACGTGCGCGGGCGTTGATAAGCCCTGCACGATAACGCCACCGGGGTCCCTAGCTGGCGAAGAGTTCTGGCCTCCTGGCTGTACAGCGTGATGATAACGCTGACACATCTCGGCCAAGTTCCACCCATGGGCATCCATATATTGGCACTGGTTCGCTAATCTTTGGTGTACCATCCATTTCACAAGGTGAACACTCCTTTGGTTCTCTCCTTTGACATCTGTCCACACGAGGCGCCCGAAAAGCGCGAGTTTGCGCGCTTCAACGAGACGGCCGACACATAAATGACCACCCGGGATTGTCTCTTTTTACTATTTCAATTAGTTAAGTCATTCGCTAGATGAAACCCGGTGTCAGTTCGGCACTAATTACGACGCACTCCGTTTAGTCTCGCACAACTGTCAGGGAAATGGAGGAGATTGTTGTACACTAATGTTGCTACATTGCTAACTCTTTTAGTCCCAATGAGGTTTTTTTTTTTCATTTTTGATATGAGTGAGAAACAATAATTAAGTTGACTTGTAAATGAGCTTTTTAGTGCGATTAACCCTTGATAAAGCTACTGATGTACCTCAAAATGATAGGAAATCGTGCATTAGTTCGTGCGGCCAAAAAACGTTCTACGAACTGTGAACGCTGTACCTGGGCACCTGTTCATATGTAATTATTTCTTTTGTAATTAAGAGTACTGAACGATTCATCAAAGAACTCAATTTGCTTAATAAAAGGTATACGTCGATGGGACTTTAAAGGGCTAACGATGTAGTCAAACATTTGGAATAGAAATTTAAATGTCAATTATCCGCTTAACGATTAACCAAAACTATCGTCTGTTCCGACAGAAAGTGGAATATAAATATTTGTATCGCGTGAAAATTGTTAAAAGATTTTCAGGCGTTCGAGACCTTTTAATGGATTTCTTATTATGTATGTGAAGAATTCGGTGATCGGTTTCATTGAAACGTACATCGATGACTTGTCAACGATCTTTTTAGATGTCAAATAATGGCATTTACGCGAAGGTAAACAAATATTTGGATTGGATATATCGCGAAGACTTCAATTTACGCTAGATAGCGTTAACATTTTCTCAAAACTCTTTACTATACACGTGCGTAGTAAAAGAGAGAGATAGCGCCGGGGAGAGAGGCAGAGAGCGTAAGCTACTTCGCAATCGAAGAGGCTCGTAAAATGTTAACATTAATAATTTTGATAACAGTAATTACCCACTGATTAAACGAGATGAAGTTGTGACGGCGACTCGGAAGTCAATTTCGCATCAAGAGAGATCAGCTGCAGTAAAACAATATTCACTCGTCAAACAGAAACGTACCTATCAACTGCAATAAAACACGTGAAAAAAAATTCGTAATACCTAATAATGAACAATATATATTATAAATTATCTCTGATAAGATTCTAACGTTGTATTTATTTATCTCGCAGGTGCTTATCGGAATACGAAGTCCTTCTAATTCTCACGGGTACGAAGAAAATGATCTGATGATCTACAAATATCCTGATTTGAAATATCAAATTTCAGATTTCTTATAACAAAATCATTTCAACTAACTTTTCATGGTATTTGATTACCTTTTTGCTAATTTACACGTCAATGAGCTTTTACGTTAGCAATATCTTTCCCAATTTAACCCTTTGGCTACTAAGAGCGCCTAAAGGCGCCCGACGTTTGGTCCAATATTGCCTGCACGGTCAGACGAATTTCGCCCATATGTCGAAATGGCTCCGTATTCAAAGGGTTAAGGACAAGTTCGTTTATAATTCGGATTGTGGGTTCCAGTAGTCGGCAATTACTTGAATTTGGCGACGACTTGGCGTAAACAACAGTGGTCAGTAGTAACGAGCCGTGTGGTCAAATTAATCGGCTCTTTCTTGTGTTCGTTCCGAACCAGAACGGTTCCGTGGTTCGAGCAATTAAGTGTTAATCACCACGGCAAGCGCCCGACCGCAAGACCCAGCCGATAGTGTGCGACTTTCTATGAAGTTACCTGGGATCAACTTTAATGCCCTGTTTCATACTTCACCGTCTAACTTCATTCTTTCTCCCCTCTATTATTACGGTAATACCTCGCTGAATTAAATACTGACAAGTCGGTCCACTTCTGTGGACTTAAAAATTATAATAAAAGAGATGAACATCCTGTAAAATCTAGAGACACCATTAACCCTTTTCCTTCGAGAAATCCGAAACACGATCAAAAGTGCACCCCTCTCCGAAATTTCGCTTAATTATGTTGAGTGCCAGAAAACAAAATAGCGCGCTACTTGACAGAATGTACATTTTTAACCAACAAATGTATAACGTTTAATCCAGTGGTTTAATCGATCGAACAATTTTCGTTGAGTACGTAAATGATTTTAGTTTAGAAAAACCAAGGTAAAAATTACCTGATTTCTGATAACCAACCTATAAATTATCGAATGGTTAAGTTGATTCTTAATTTCTGATCCTTTTATTCGGTGGAAATGTTCTCGCGGTTTAAGTAATTCAGTGATAATCACCGTAATAACCGTTCGATCTTAGGAGGTGCACTTCGTGCAAGTTTCTACGAAGTTCCTTAGAAGCATCCTTAACTTATTGCATTATTCCCTTCCGTCTACCTTACTTCCATCTCTTCGTACCGGTAATTCCTCATTGAATTTAATTGAGCGCCGTGTGAACGCGTTCTAATGGAGGGCCGTGTGAACTCATCTTCTCTCTTTGAAGTCAAAGTAGAAAATGCTTCAAATTATATGAAGACCATGCTAACGAAGCGGCATAACAAATAATGAATTATAGCGCTATACCGTAAACATTACACCAGGTGATTACAATGGAAAATTAAATTAAGATACACGGAAGTTAGAATATTTCGTTAACACATTCCGAAATCGACATTGTTAAGTAACTCTAATTTGGAACTAGTATTCTTTAGCACAGTATTGTGAAAGCTGCATTCTCATTCGAAGTATTTAACTTCAAAGAAATATAACGCATATATTTGATCACAAAAGCGAGAGAAAAGTCTGATTCAATATAGAATTAATACTTAACCCTTTGAGCCCTGTGAACGCTTAAAGGGGCATCAATAGTTCATGAAACTTTTCTCCGAACTGGGTGTGCTAAATCGTTTCAGACTTTACAATTTCAATGTGGAGGCTATAAGGAAGGTCCTTAAACTCATAGAATTTCATTTTTTATAACAAATTTTAAAAATATCTATCAACAAGTTTTTTAAAAATTGAAATTTCATGAGTCTCAGGACTTTCCTTATACCCTCCACATTTATATTGCAAAGATTGAATCGTTTCAATACATTCAGTTTGCAGAAAAGCTTCATAAACGAGACCTCTTTGATATCACTTTCACATCACCTTAAGTGCGTCCGACGTTCGGTCCAATATCGCTTGCACGCCCTGATGAAATTCGGCCATACGCCAAAAGAGCTTAGCGCTCAAAGGGTTAAAAATTAATCATACTGACAAATGATGTCAAGTCATACGTACATTTAATATATCGATCTTGATGATGAGGTTTCCCTAAACTGTCTTTACACGCTTCATTTCTTAAGGTCATTGCGCTAATAATGAAATGAACATATATCCCTAAAAGCTATTTAAAAGATCTCCTCACATGTCCCATGAAAATAATCGCCAATAATTCATACATCGCACCAAAATGACTGACCATAGCTAGAAGACGATTCATTTCTAAGTAAATACATCTATAAACGATACATACACTTCAGCCGAATTTCAATGTTCACTGGAAACGGTTAATAACAAAGTCAAACGATCCTTATGAAAGTAATCCCAAAGAGTTCCTCGATCGTCACAAAAGCCTGAATGATCCTTCAACAGGACTCTTCTGTTCCATCCCTTAAGACGGAACATTTGACAGTCCCACAAATAAGAACCATTATTAAAAAAAAAACAAATAAAAATAAAAATAAAGGAAGAAAAGGGAAAAATCCAGGACCGATATGCATCTCAGCGAATCATGCACCGAGCGATGTAACTTTTTGTCCAAGTAACGTCAGTCGATGCCTCGGCATTCCTGACTTTCATGCATCCATCCTTGTAATGACATCCCCCAGTCGATACATTGGCTATCGCGTATCGATCTGGCATTATGGTTATTATTGGGTTGTATCTTGCCCGGATTGAGACCTCCGTCGGCGATACCTTGGTACCCGAGTGTGGGTGCAGGAGAAATCACACATGTACGCGGTTTCGCGTGTGTACCGCAAAGTCGGGCTCGCTTTATGGGCCCCAAACGTGCGTCGCAATCGCGTACTTGCAGGTACGCGCGCATACGCAAGTGCGCCTAAGTACCAGAGGGTTTACGTTTAACGCGAGCTCAAGCTTCCCGAGGTAAGTCACAATATAAACAATTCCTGGCACGGGGTACAGGTAAGGTAAACCCAGGAGAAAATCTAAAGGGGCCTTCCTGCGGCACGCTCGCGTTCTTTGCGTACGCACGAAATGCCTATAAAGACTGCATTTACGGTCTTTATAGGCTGGACGTTAGGTGCGTGTGTCAGCCACTCATGTGGAAGTTTTGCTCAACCTACAGGAATGGAAGCGAAACGCTATGGGATTACCGATGTGCACTCGGAGTGATTGCTGTCATTTAATGGGTACTAAGAAGGGAGGATCGAAACGTTCTGGTATCGTGGACTTGATAGAGAGAGGGAAATACGTGAAAAGTTAAACAGTCTTAATTCCAGTTTTCGCCGATATGGAATTACCTCTTTACTGTTTTTTATTTTTTTTATTTTTTCTTGCATTTTCGGGTAAAATTTGTATGAACATTTTTGGAAACGAATTTGTCACTTATTAACCGCTGCGATGTATGTAAGGACTTTTTTATCGGTGGGCTCGAGATTTTACGTGGATGCATAAAGTGCTTTCGGGACGTACACTTGCAGTCGTAAAGTTAAGCATGTGACAAGGAAACTCATTAGCAATTTTAAGTGAAATGTTGAATGCGTAAGCAGGAGGAAAAAGAGAGGTTAGATCTTTATTATCACGCGTTCTTACTTTTGTTTATCGCATGGGCTGCTCATAACAATTTTACTTGCGATGTTGAAGCCGCGAGTATCTCAAGTGAACTTAGGTAGTATAATTTCGGGTGATTTAGTAAAAGGGTCTTGAAACTGCAAACTTGGATTTAAATCGAATGTTGGAGTTACCCGGGATTGATGGAAACCTAATTACAATAGAGAAACGCATGATGCGATGGCATTTTTCTTTGAAGGCTTATTGATCGCGTTCAGAGGCGAGTTACTCATCTTCTTAATCGCGTATCTGAGGTACTCATTTACGGGATGAACTTGCACAAAACGGTAGATAGTTGCACGGAGGCTACACCTCCTGATTCCGCGCACAAGTCATC